ATTTTTTTGTTTCATCCTTTTTTAGCCGCGTGTGACAAATGCGTGGCCATAACTTTCTGGGCTGGCAGCCGTGGCGTGTGTGACATTTATTACAACATTTTAAAGGTGCTGCCTTCGGGCATTGCTAATAAATTAGCTCGCAATTCAAGAGCTGCGCAAATTGGCGGGGCCACACAAGCACACACATATGTGGGTGAAAGGATTCGGGTGATGTCAAATAAATCATATATTTCAAATTAAAAGTCGTATAGCTTTGGGTTATTTATGAAATTTACCACAACGCAAAGGCAATTAAATTAAATTCTCGTTTCTAATTGTCAGAGAAATAAAGAAATATATTTTAATTGCATAACTGATTTACTGTTAACATATGAATATTAATTTATTATTTAATTGGCCTTATAAAATATAGTCCAACCGCTGACTTGCCCTACAGGCATGGTGCCTTTAAGTTAGGGAATCGTTAAAATTAAAGCATATGCAATTAGAATACCAACCTATGCGAGCCATAAACATTATTCACACACAGGCAGCGGTATCCTTACAGTCGGAGTTTCATCAGTTTCCGGCAGAGTGCGAGTGCAAATGAAGCTCGCGCGGCTCACTTAAAATACCTCACAGCGTAAATTACGCGTATAAAATGAACATTAGATTCATATTTTTATACCTCAGTCTGGATGTGCGTGGGTAGGGGAATTACACTCCTTCTAACACACACACATTCGCCACCACACACAAGAGGGCATAAATAAAAGCCAGAAACTCCATACACACACATCCTTCCCGTGAATGCCAACAACAGAGTCGCAAAAAAGGTTTTTTGCCAAATAACCTGCAGCTATTTCAAACACAAACAGACTCTTACTCACACTCTCACAGAGCCACACACATATATGCCTATGTGTGTACTTATTTCCATTACAAATGAGCTTATTATGCGCTCAAGTCACAAAGTCATTGCGACTTAAAAGGATTTGCATGTGATTAGCAGTACGAAATGTAAACAAAACTCGAGTGCCAAAAGACAAAAACAACGCGAGGAGTTTTATATAAGAAGTTAAGAAATACTGATACCCAGTACTATTTAAAGGGCAGAACTATAGAATAGTATTATTTTAAGATCAAACTACAATATATCACAAAACTTAAAGAAACAATATATGGAAAATAAAGTAATAAAATTTATATACATTGAAAGATTGAATTTTTATTTATTATGCAGATATATGCACAATTTATAATAATTAATATACAAATTATATAATAAGCTTATAACCTAATATACTCCCAAGATACAGGGTATGCAGGGCAAAAGCCAAGACGATTTGTAAGCACTTGCCAAGTACATGTTACACGTGTGTCTGGAATGAAACGTATGCATGTATTGCGTATTTGGGAAATGGCCGGAAGCAGAAAAGAGAGCCGCATAAAAACAATGAACACATCATAATCATAATTTTTGTGGCCTAATTTCAGGGGCCAGTGAATTAGAGTCAAAATGTGTTGGGTATCGTGTGTAGGCTCTTTATTTTTCAATGCATTAAATGGCTAACAGAGGGTTTCCCCACCTTGGCTCGTAATTTACGAGAAGTCTCTCAAATTCGATGACATTGGATGCGAAAAAGAAGAAGACGGTCTTTGCGCTTCGATTACCTTGCATAATGGGCAACGTCTTCTTTTGCATAAGCGCTGAGAATTTGCACAAAAGACGATGGCAAATAGAAAAGCACTTATTCGCTTTTCCAGCTAAATGGGAGAGGAGTGGTGGGGGCGGTTGGGCTGTCAAGGCTATGTAATTGAAGCCGACTTGAAAGTGTTGCTCAGGCTTAGCGACGAAAGAAAAAGTGGAAAGACTCTGGCCTGTCAGAGGGAAATATCGATTATTTGGCGACAGGAAAGGCTTCGGCTGAATAAAATATGCACTTCTATTTTTCGGGCACCTTTTCTTCATGTTTTCAATCACAATTTGAATTGCTCCTCGAGCAGCAGCAGCAACACAAATACGTAGGTATTATCTATATATAATATACCTAGCTTCTAGTATGTTTGCTGCCCGAATTATAATGACGTCAAATGGAAGCAATGACTTGCACTCGCCCACCCAAAACGAAGGAAAAGCTGGCAAGTCAGGAGTAAAAGACCAAGGAAATTATGCCAGACGGAGCATGAATGGGACGACTCGAGCTGAGCCCATTGAAATGGAACTTGGCACAAAAGACTAGACTCGAAGTTTAGCTAAAAGCCAGATAAATAAATAAACACACAGCAATATATATAGAAAAAAGAGATTTGGGAAATTGTTGTGCTTTTGAATAAATAAATCGCAGAGCAAATAAAGGTGAATGCCAAACAGAGAGCAGACTACAATGAGCCATGATGCCACCCAAGTACGCATAAGTGGGCTGCCGCTGCAGGAATCCACTCGACTCCACTCCCAGCCACTTGGCCAAGTTTAAGTTGCAGGCACACACAGACGACAGTTGTTTGCTTTAAAACTGGCTAAAAATGTGGGGCAACCGGTTAGGATAGGTGGAGAAGCGGATCAGGAAGCTGGAAGCCAGGGTCCCCAGCTCGTCAGCCAAATTAAGGATGTACAGCACGTGTGCTTAGCCCGCTGGCTATTAAGCGACACTCCGGAACGAGAGAGAGGAAGTAAACTGTGCATAAAACTCAATCAAGTCGAGACAACAACCAGCACACATCAATGGCCTTTACATACTTGTCTGCCCTGCACTCACAAAAATAAACACCTAATCGTTTCAAAACATAAAATTGATTTAAATGTTCTTCCATAAAAAAGATAACTACCAAAGATAAAAATAGATACCTTTATAAGTAACTCTGTTCATTCTTATATTAAAATAAACATAAACCGCATGTTAGAACTGCAACTATTTCTTAAATGTAAATAGAAAAAAGTCGATATAAAAATAAATATTATTTTACGCTTTCCAAACCGAAAAGCGTTCTTTTTCCGTAGTGTTACTGGCATTGTCCCTGCAGGCATGTCAGGCTCTAATGTAAACTCTGACACGCTCCCTGGCCCCCAGCTGCACACGGCAGCTCCTGGTGAGGTCCTGGTGTGGGAACCAACGGGCATGACAATGGCACAAACCAGAATCCAATGTTTTGGCAACAAGACACCAGGAAAAAGAGCAGGCAAATGTCGCCCCAAACTTCTACATATTTTTTGCCCTTTTGGTGCTCGGGGCCTTTGTGAGGTACCCGGAGAAAGTCAAATAACTTGGGCAAATCTGCAAAGGCCGAAAGAGCTCTGTCTCAGCTCCGCTGTCAGGATGTGGCCCCGAGCAAGTGATTTCCCCTTTTTAGACGAGCTGAAGCCCGCCAAGCGGGGATCTGCGATCTGGGACCATCGTATGACCATCCTATTTAGTTGGAATAGTTGTAAAATTTTTAAGAAAACTAAAATAAAAGCAGACAGGGACATTGGAATGATAGTTCACGCTAAAATCTAAATATATATATAGAAAAAAAAGGAATGTTCTGGCACAGAAATCTCTGGTAACAATGAACACTCCCTACACCGCATTGATGGCCATGAGATTTCTAGAAAAATGGTCCTCTATGGATGAAGACAATGCAGTTAAACGGAGGAGGGAGTGGTGGAAGGACTCCGGATATCTCATCTCAGTCAGTGGGACATGCGAGCCCTCTTTTGTTGACTGAAATTGAAAATCCTTTGTTCACATACTAAGCGCTTTTTAATTAGTTTTTCGAGCACTCCTGAATGGATGTCCTGCAAATCGGACCCAAGGATCTACCAATAAATTCAGCTACATTGCATGGCTCAAATTTTGGCTGAACATTTGAACGCCGTGACAGCCTTTAATCAAATTTAAGTCCCCATAACAATTTTTATTCAGCTTCCCTTCGGCAACTGCTGTTTAGGCCAAAGGAAAAAAGTCAACAATTGTAAATCATTTCAACAAATGTCGGCCACGTGATTTCCGGCGGCACGTGCTCCACCTTCACGACGCCCCTTTCTTCCGGTTCCGCCAACAGCTGCCGAAGCAGAAATTATTGGCAAAGCGTTTAAGCGCAATAAATATGTTTGATTGCTGGCAAGTTGCCGAAAAAGATATATATCTAAAGATAAATATATATCTATATCTATACGTGGAGCTAAGCGGCAGTCGTAGGGTCTGGGCTTCCTGTGATCCTGTTCCACCCACACAACCAGATCCGGGCCCAGCGCAAATTTGTAATTCATTTAAACGCGCAACTAAATCGCTTCAAGCTGTTTGCTCTGCACTTTTTAATAGTCGCGGATTGTACTCTATATACAGTACACTGTGAGAAATCCGATAGTTTTGGGTACTAGTACTACTGGTACTAGTACTACTATTGCTGCACTAATATACCTTAATACTTTATACCCCACCGGATTGTAATTAAAAGGAAACTATCAAGGAATATTTTTTTTACATTTTTATGAAAGGAACTATTTGGATCAGAACTTAATTGCTGCAGTGCATTTTCCGGAAGCTCTACAGACGCAATTCTAGCGAATTACCCAGCCAGCCAAAGGGGCTGCGAACATTGCTCGACTAAATCAAACGAAAGCGCAGCTAAAACGCTTTTGTGCACAATTCGATTATTTACGTTTATTCTTTTTAAATGATATTTCCCGTCTGGCCAACGGGATCTGGCCGAAGGAGCCAGAAACCAATTATTTGCGGACGGAGCGGAGTAAGCCAGCCGGAGGGCAAGCAATTTGTAAGGAAATCAAGCGTAAGCAGAGGAGCCGGAAAATGTGCTGCAGTTGAAAGGCGAAAGGGTAAACAAAAGATCAATTTAATAGCCGCACAGCATCGGTATCGGTACAAAGGGGGAGGGGAAACGCAGTGGACAAACACAGCTGGGCGGGGGCAAAAAGGTGTGTGAGATGAGTGTTGCAACACATCTTGCAGTGGGAAAACATTTAAACAGGTGGCACAGTTCTAACGGATCTGGTGAGTATAAAAAACCGGAGATGTCATCCAGAAAGCATCACAACCACTTCCGGCCTTTCCACAAGCAACAGTTCGACCAAGAGCAACAATATGTCAGCCAAAATCGCCCTGATCTTTGCCCTGGCGGCTTTCTGCTGCCTGGTGGTCTCCACCGAATCGGCAGCCCAGCGGAGCCGAGTAATCAGCTCTCGTCGAGGTACCGAATTGGTCGAGAAGAACACCGAGGATCAATCCAAGGAAGCTGCCGAGTTGGAAGCCCAGTTGAAAGAGATTGAACGCCAGGAGAACTCTGAAAGGAACCCACTGGAGGGACGCAGTGACGAAGGTGCCGTAGCCGTTGAGAAACAAGAGGAGAAGGACACCACCACCAACGATAAGGACACCATTGTTAAGCCCAACAAGGATGACGCCCGTGCTCGCCGCATCATTCGTGCTGGTCGTCGTCGTGGTGGACGCCGAGGTGCTCGCCGCTCCAGCCGCAGGTCCGCTCGCCGTGGACGCCGTGGAGGACGCCGTGGTGGACGCAGGCGCGGTGGACGTCGCGGTCGTGCCGGTGCTCGTCGCCGCACCTCCATCAAGAGGCGTTCCGGCAAGGGCAACAAGGCCTAAGAAATCCCTGCTTCCAACTAAGACTTAAAGCATGATCCTCTGATACGATACAAACAAATAAAAATTATTTTTAGCTTAATGAAACAACATCTCTTTTATTTTGCATTTTTTATAAGTTTTAAAACTAAACAGCATCAGCATAATATTAAAATAGAAACTCTTCAAATTAAACCATTACCTAATAACTGGAACTCCATTACACCAAAAGGCGGCTTAAAGACCACCCATGAGTGCCAGGAAACTTTCAACGGCGTCTGGGAAAAATGACAAAAGAGAGAGGAGGACAGTTTCGGGCCTGTTTCGCATTCTTTTCGACGTCCTGTCGTCCTTTGGTCCTTTTGGTGCCTGCCCTGCAGCGACGTGACATGTGACAAGAAGTTGCCGCGGCGTTGCTGCAACAGCTGCTGTCGCCTGCCAGCCGAGATCCTGGGTCCTTTCCAGCTACAGTTCCCGAAAAATGATGAATGTGCCAATGTTGCTGGGCTGTTGCCACATCCTCGGTCTTGGTCCTGCCTCTACACTCTGCCAAACTCTGCCTTGGCTTTGTACTGCAGTCGTGGGATGAAAGTTTTGCGGCCGCAGCCAAGTTTTGGTATATTTCTGGGATTATTAGACAACATTTGGTGCAACATGAGCCCGTTGCCCGCGACTACATTTGGTGGTAAGTGAATAAACTCCAGCTGGAACTCCGCCAGTCCATCAGTAGACAGAAGTTTGTACAAGTGCAGGGACTGCATTAAATGCCAGAACGGTGGGTCACATTATGCCGCAAATAGTTTGTGGCCTGCAGGAAATTAAACTCATGTGAATGGATAGCATCAGCCATCAGCCACGTTGCACATTCTGATGAGACCTGGTCATTGTCATCCATCCAGAATTCGTGGAGAACACAGATAATGAGCTACAAAGTGCAGATGATGGTTGAATTTCGTTTAACGTTTAATTAAGCCAGTGCCATGCGAAATGTGCAGTGGAAAGTTAGTAATTTCCTTTGCATCTGCAACATGTGTCCATATTCATTGGAATTCACTAAGCGACACCGAGATGTAGACAAAAAGTTTTGGCCTTTGTCTGAGTTTGTTCAGCCAACAATAGACGGCTATTGTTTGGCTTTTAGCAGCAACAAAAGCCAAAAGAGCCAAACAATTTAGATAGGACAATAAGCCAACGGGAAATTAAATTGGCTGCTCTAGTTTACATAGTTCTGCTACTCCCGGCTCTTCATCTTTTCTTCTCTCAAAGCAAAGAAAGCTGTTTAAAATTAAATTAAACTTTTAAATACGCAGAAGGAACGGAGAAAAGTTTGTATGAAAGCATAATTATCATTATTTATCTACGAACTGGCCTTATTTATAATCTTCTTGGTTTTAAAGAACTTAGAAAGCAGTTGAATAAATGTTGGAAAATGGTTGGTTTTTATCTCAAAAGAGATTCAATAAATCTAAAACTACACAAAATTTGAGAGCCTTGTTCGATAACCACGAAAAAGGAACTGAGTGTATTATTCAATAAATAAATATTCCACAATGGCTCTCAGCTCGATTGCCTTTCTTGAATGGGACTTAATACAAATCCGCTGAACAAGATGAAAACAAAAATCTGTTATTCAGATTGACTTGGCACAAAGGCCAGCCTCGAGGCCAACGAAAACGCATTTATAGATACATATATATATATTCAGTTTCTCTCGTTTTTTATTTAAATACTTTTTTAAGCCCACTGTTACTTTTGGCAAGCAACAAGAGCAAACGAGGAAATGCTCGCAGTAGGGGTAGAAAAATGGAAAATCACTTGCCGATTTTCAATTGAGCGGCGGAAATGTAACGGAAATAAATTTACATAAATACAATATGGTGCGTGCTTGTTGGCGCCATTTTATTTGCACAACATATATGTACGAGTATAAATGTGTGTGTGAATGGAAATGAACATACACATACACAGCATATTTGCACCAAAGTGCGTATTGATTTGCGGCATATGCATGTGAAAATGTTTTCCTCGTTTCGATACAGGGAACATAAAAAAATTGAAAATTTAAAATGTTCCTCGCCTTTGGCCTATATGGTAGGCACCTTCGTGTGCCCACTTTGTTTAATGCCGGCAAATATTTTCAGCACTTCGTGACCAAATTTTCGGAGCGCACTATCTCGAGTGTAAATAGTGCACACACACTCAAACACACACACACACACACACACCTGCCTTAACTGCCATTCGAATGGCGTCAGGTATTTTTTGCATGCACCTGGCATTATTTGCATAAGATAAAAGATGAAAAACAGACCTGAGTTAAGGCGCTCTTCCTCCAAGTGCTTACCAGCCAAAAAGCGTCCTAAATGTGTTTTCCATAAAAGCCAAGCAAATCCCAGAGAGTTCTCCCCACGCTTCACCGAAAAAAAAGAAATGACGACGATGGCGAATCCTGATAAAGACAACACATATTGAAGGCGACCCCTCTGCCCGGGAAGAAGGAACTTGGGGAATGGGACCGCTGTCGCCATTTTGTAGCATTTGCAACTTATATGCATATGTGGTCGAACAGCCCAGACCCCAAAGAACATGAAGAAAACGAACAAAACTTGAGAGACCGCCAACGTGCTCTGAAATTACATTTTCCCTACACGAATACGAATATTTCCCACGACCAACTGCACGAAAATGCGCCAAGATTTTTTCCTTGTTCCCACATTCAGTATTTACCCTGTTCCTTCACAATCGACGTGACTGCACAGTGAGACTTAAAGTATAGTTTCAAATTATTTAAACAAAAAGTACGTTTTCTGCGCGACCAAGTGATTTCGAAAGTTCCACAACAATGATATAATTAAATTGATCACTAATCAAATGTATGGTATAGATAAAAAATATTTAATTTAAGGTTCATAAACGGCTGTCTTAATTTGCAGACCTTTCAGCAACCTTGAGCTTGAACTCTTTGTTAATAAAGAACTCCCATCTTAAGTTATATACTAAAAAAGAAGAATTAAATTAGCTTACAAAGCTCACTGTGCAATCTTAGTTTAAATGGCATAGAAATCGGTGTTAGCACTCGTAAGTTTGCCGTATTTTACAAATGCATTTGACATAAATTTTAAAAGGCTTAAGTGCCGGAGTCCTTGCCTTCGGCGAGCCTTGCTCCCAGCGCCTTGATAAGAAGACGACGAGTGGAGTGAAGTGGGAGTAAAGGAGCTGTGCCCTTAAATCCCAGTTGGGTGAAGACATAAAATAGAGCAATTACGGCAAAGATCATAAATTATGCAAAGCCGGGCAACAAGTGTATGCGATAAGCCCAGAAACTGAGCCTGGCAAGTGAAAATATGTGGGTTGGAGTTTGTCTGACAATCATCAGTCACTCGCAGCACTCACCACTCATCGCGAATTGAAATCATTCGCAGAGTGTCTTCCACCAGCAGTTTTCTCTTTGCACATACTATATATATATATATATATATATATATATATATATATATATATATAGAAAAAATAAGGAAAAGCAAGACCGACACTCTAAGAACTGAGAGTACGTCGTTTATCAACTGGCAGTGGAAAATGCATTCCGGCAATGCTAGTTCCTGGCTGCCTTCAGCCACCTCCGCCAGTTGACAGTGGCAGTGACATGCAAATCGGGTTTACCCTTCTGCCCAGGCATTAAGTGTGTGCGATTTCCCTTCAACAAGACAATTTAACAGAAAAATTCATGCTCGACAGCTTGCCAATGCGTGTGGGCCAAGGAAGGGCATTGTGCAATTGCAGTTATGAATAAATACAGATAGGAACTTGAGGCTTTCACTTCCTACCGTCGCTTAAGTGCCACCCCGTTTTCCAGTGCCACTGTTTTTTTCACTTTTTTTTTAGCTTTTTCTAGGCCTCTTATACCGCCCTTACCGCCCACACATTGGCGTGTGGTGAGGCGTGTTATCGTCGGATTTGCATGCTTGCACAAGCCATAAATGTCAATTGGCATGGCAAGCGGGATTTCGAGGAGCCAACGAGGGGCAAGTGGCTGCGAAAGCACATAAGTGGCGAGGAAATGGAAAGCGCCGCAGCTGGTGTCATAATTATAGATGACTATCACTTTATTAAAGCGATAAGGAAATCCACTTAAAGGAGTAAATAAAAATAACGCCCAACTTTTCTTTAAGCTGTGAAGGGAGAGAAGTAGATGAAAGAAAATTTCGATAAATAATATAAATGTCTTAAGAAAATGTTCCATTCTTTTAAGGAATGAATAATATTTACTGTTAAGAAGGATATTACTTTCACTTTTAAACTTAAGAAAGATGGCTTGGTAAGCTTTAATATTACTCAAAAGAAAAGGGTTCCCTGTTCAACCTATCATCTATTAAAACCCTGCGCCTCCAACTCCAAATTAACCCCAGAATAGCATTTCCCAACCCATCAGATGTAAATTTGTTTTTATCACACACAAAGCCAGGATGGTTTGAGGGATTTTGCTGGTGCCCAAAACGCCAGCAGAATGAACTGATTTAAATGCTAAAGTGAACGATTATCATTTCGATTTTGTATAAATAGCACATGAATTATTCATTGGCACTTACTTATGCGCCATCAAAGTGACTTAGGGGCTGCTGGGGCTTCTTCTTTTGTGCCCTACCCCATCTCAACCTCCCCCTTGGCTGACAATATGATGATGCCGTGGCTTATTGAACCAAAAGTCAGCGTGGAGGAGAGCTAGGGATACAATATTTGTCGCCCACATTAACACCAGCCGTCGTTTAGATATCATAGTTTGATAAACTCAACTTTTCGAATTAAAGTAATTTCCTGTTGTTGAACTTTTCCTCACATACTCGTGCGCTGCCAAGTCGTGGAGTAGCAAAAGTTGTCACAATTGTTATTCCAACAGATGTAGCATTGCGTCAGAGGGAGACAGATAACACACAAATTACTGTCGATTTCATTTTACGCCTTGAGCAGGAAAACTTTACTCCGCCGAATCCGCCGCATTGTGTCAGTCTGTAGAAATGAAGCCAGAGAGTCGGAGAGCCGGAGTCCTACATTGGAGATGGAGTCTGCGTCTGCGGCATCCTTGTCCTGAAATTCGATAAGGCGACAGACAC